ATACAATGAAGTGTCTCAGGAAGCCATAATTGACAACAACAAAGCAAATTTGGAGCTGCTGATACAAGCACTTTTACACAAAAGTCATTTTTCCAGCTCTTTTCTGTCAGTTCAACTTATTGACATTCACACCAGGAGCGTATTAAATGTGACAATCCCATTGTCTGCAGTTTGGAGCCAACCTGAAACAATAGATATTTTTGCTGGAGTAATAAGTTCTCATGTGTTTTTGGGCAATAAAATGAGCGGTGTGGGCGGATTCGAAGCGTGTGGATGGAAAAGCGTGTGTTTGCTTGTGCTAGCGTGTGCGTGTTTATACGTTCGCATGTGGGCCGTGGCTGTGCGGGGGTGTGCACTGGATGTATGTGTCCATGTGGAGGTGTGTGTCAGTTATTCCCAGGCCCAGTGCAGGAGCTAAACCCCTCTCCGCTGGGTTGATGTTTAGTATTTTAGACATGCTACATTAACAACATCTGGTTAAGATCTAAATGCTTGTTAAACGCGCTGAAATTTGGGGGGGAAAGGTACGGGGCGAGTGAGCGGAGAGGGCTGTGTGCAGGAAAATAGAGATTTGAGGGTGAGAGAACAGGGGACAGGCAGATCAGTGCGTTTGTAAGGTTATTACTCTGGCAGTATTACCGCTGGCCCTTGACTGTGTGTATGTGCACCCATGAGCTTTTGTGTGTGGCTGTGGGATGGTATAATGTTTCAAAGCATTTGCCTTCAGAACTCCGAGGCCAAACTAGAGCCACGCGCGGCGCAGGAATGTGACATCACCAGCCCCTGCAGTGCTCCAGCGCACCGCCGTTCAAACGCACACTCACAGGGGACTTGACCGGAGGTGTGCAGAGAAATCAGCCTCTCCATCTCAGCTAAACGGGCCAGACATAGCTATGCAAAATATAAGAGCCGTGCTACATCAAAGTACAATAAAACCGGTTCATTTAAATATAAAAACACATTTGGTTTAGATTGTTCAAAAGGTTTCACCGGTTTATTTATAGCCACTGACATATAGTGTTTTGAACTTGAGTATTGGGTTTTAGGACCTCTAGTGCCTGAACTAAAATCCATTTAATGTCGGAATATTCCCAAAACATGAACTTAGATGTTATAGAATTATGCTTGTATGTTGAAAATATACTACACCATTTATTCCAGTTGGTCCAATCAGATTCTACACACGTTTTAATGGAAATGTCTTGACTCAACAGAGGCTCATAATATTACGGTAAAGTCTTTGCAAATATCCAGTAATATCTTTACACCCAGATATTACATTCCTCATATATTTCTTAAGATATTTTCTTTGGCAGCAATTACCATTTCAGTCCATGCTCCACTTTCATAGATTTAAAATAAACAATCATGTAAAAAAAGAAGTCTTATTCCTTTACCCCCTTAATGAGCACCATCCTAGCCCTAAGGAAGCAAATTAGAGGCAGCTCGGTCCAGCTAATGAATTCAGCCATTTTGGAGCCGCAGCGCACAGTTTCCTCCGTGTGACGTGGGTTTCCGAATTGTGTGCAGTACGACCGAGTCCTCCACAGGGCACATAATGACCCGGCATGGCGGTTATGGGCCCTCAGGGGGAGGCGGGAGGCGTGCGGTGTGGGGGGCAGTGGTCTCAGAGCTGGTCATTATACAGCTACAGGGCACACGCACACACACACACACACGCACACATACGCACAAACGCTTTTGGTCCATCCTCCAATGCTCCCATCTCCCATATGTCCCATGTCTCCCATTTTTCAGATTCGACATCTCTCTTTATTTTTCATCTTGGATTTACTGTCTACGCTTTAGGTTGGGTTGTGTGCTGTTGACGACATAAATGGACTAATAGCAAAACCATATAATTATCATAATGTGAAAAAAGGAATAGTTTCATTTATTGGTGTCATGATACTAACATAACACTTTTTGATACCAATTTTGACAACACAGTGATAATCTAAAATGAGCTGCAATTTTGTACATTTGACAATACATTTGCATACACAATGCAACTTTGAGTTGCATTGTGTATGAATTGTTAACATTATAGTGCTTTGTAGTGGCACCGCAAGGTTTCATACTAATTCTGAGATCAACATTATTCAAAAACGGCTCCAAGAATCCCACATTTTGTCCAGTGATTCCTTTCAGTATCGATACTATCTATTTTCTAATATATCATTTTCAATACTTTTGAAGGTTGAATTGATGGAACCTATCTTAAAATATGATTGCTCCTCAATTTTTGCAATATACATATATATCTGAGGAAATTAAACAGTGTTATTGTATAATTATAAATAAGTGCCATATATGATGAATTTGTTTTTGGCTATATAACACCATTTCACACACTCATTTTGTCATGTGGCGGATCATGCCCAGTGCCCAACCTCACATTCTAAAAATACAACATTTTGCTTATGTTCCTGATCACGAATCACTTAATTATTCGGTTCCCTGTAATGTTTAAATATAGGCTTGGTGTTGGTCTCCGGGTAATCAGAGCCAGTGCCTGTGGTTAGCATCAGCTCACCGACCGACTTTAATGTTCTGACCGACCCACATCAAAGAAAGTCCCACCACACTGCCAGAATCACACACGCCACTCCTCCTATGCGTGTGCGTGCGTGCGTGTGTGTGTGTGTGTGTGTGTGTATGTATGCAACCAACCACACAGACACAGACAGGCCGAGAAGGTGACTGAGAAAGTTAGCTTCATGTCCTCTGGTAGCCATTAAGTTGATGGTTAAAAAGTCCCCACCACCTCTCCCTCTACTCCTTTTTTCTTCCCAAAACGCACAGGACCGGCATGCAAACACAAGCCGTCACTGTCTCTCCTGCTTGATCAATGGTTCACGTGCACTCCCACATAGCCCCACGCGGACACAGCGGTTCAGGCTCTCATGTGGTGTGTTACTGTCAGGGTCAGGCAGAGGGCAGACACAGCACTGATGTATTGAGAGAGCTCGTCTGGGAATGTCCTGAGTGTGGAAACGCATTCCCCTGTATGCACACACGCCACACATCTATAAACCACTGCGAGGAAAGCAATGAACAAACCCTGATGAGGCCCAGATGATCAGAGGCTGCTCCCTCGCCACCGCTGTATGCTACTCCTACCCCCTTTGTCCCCGTCTCCCTGCTCTTTGTCTTTGAGACTCTCTAGTGACCTATCAAGCTGGTAGAGTGCCCCCTAGAGGTTTTTAATAAGGAGAGATATATGCAGTGTTATGGCTGGTCTGTGCACCCAGTATTGCTTATTTAACAACATGGAATAAATTGTGTGCAGGCTATTAGATTGGGAATTGTTTACTAAACTGCAAATTTCAATGCATTGTAAGTAGAAAGATCAACTTGGGACAATAGCTCCCAAATTTGGATCAGCTGTAAATACTTCTATAGAGCATACAAACTATTATAAGCGTAAAAACAGAATGATATTTTGATGTTGTTGCATTTGGCAGCAGTCATTTCTAGCAGTGCCACTCTCCCAGTGTTTACAGCGCCTGTTTTGTTACGACTCACCTCTGCAATGGTATATTCCTATACTACGTCCCTCCATACGAAGGTGGAGCGAATTAAAATACAAAGATGGACGTCGCCGCAGCAGCAGTGAAAATTGCAATTTCTGCAAGCCCAGGCTCCAGTGGCTGACAGGAGATATTTCATCCCTGTTGTCACCGACATATTAATAAAACATCAGGAGCAGAGTGCAGTCCCAGTCTCTGTCTTTTTCATACAAACACACACGCACAAGGACACACGAATGCACACACCTTGACACAAAAAAATCTACGGGACTCAAGTGCAAAAATACTCATGAATAAGCACAGATATATAGGCGAGGAACGCAATTTCCCTCCTCAATCACACTCCAGCATCTGCCATGAAAATTTCATGCTGTATATAATGTCCATTTAATGTGTTGGTCTTAAAGGGTGCGGCGCCACTTGTCTGTGTGTCGGCCGAATGTGAAAGGGTTAATCATATCAGGTTTCCAGTGCGGGAGGGGGTCTCCACAGGCCCCTTATGCTCGTTCCACAATGGCCAAAGTGATTGTATGCTAATGAAAACTGACCTCAATGCACCCTTTGCCCAATTTCTATGAATATGACTGCATGTGTGTATGTGTGTGTGTGTGTACATGTAAAATATGGCTATTAAGCATGTGAAGGATTGATGAGCACAGCTTTTTTTACTCTCCAGTTTTTTGTGTTGTCGAGTGAGGGTCTTGTCGTGAAAGAACCCCCCTCCCTCTCCGCCGCTTCCCCCTCTATTTAGGAGACATACAATTTTGAACGCTTTTGCAGGGTACATGCATTTGTGCGAATGTGATAGCGTATGGGTATAATTTCTTGAAGTGTTCCTTTTTTTTTCAATACTGTGTTGTACTGTGACTGGTGGAGGGTCCAACGTGTCTGTGTGTGTGTATGTGTGTGTGTGTGTGTATATATAAATGTGTGCGCGCCTGGTTATCTGGCCTCTCTCAGACTGCTCAAAATTCATTACAAAGTGACATCAGCCCAGCCGGAGACAAATGATGGCTGGATGAAAGGGAGCGCTGGGGCTCGGCTAGGATTAGTGTTAGCTTGTGCTGGCGACACACACACACATAAGTTACACATATACGAACCAACGCACACACTTTAATCCACTGGCAGAACACTGAGATACACAGAATTATCAAACAAGGGGCTGAACTCTCCAAGATGTGCAGGCTAATCTGCTAATAGTACAGAGTTGCACGTTTGACTTGGATTGCTATAGATATATTTTTAGCTAACCCCCGAAATGTATTAATTAAATAGGCAAAATCTGTTTTTGTATCTATGCAATGGTCTTGGATTAAGGAACCTAAGAATCTATAGATGTATGTGGTATTGCTCATGACTATTATTATGGGCAGATCTTAAGACTTCCCTTTTCAGCCTATTTCCTTCTCTTGCTATGTTAACCCTGTGCATTTTGGGTAATGTAGTGAATTTCTTGTTTTCCAGATGAGACTGGTGAGGACAGTGAGAGATCACCTCGCTCCTCCTCCAGGCCGGGAATGACTGATCGAGACTTGACAGAAGGCAGGAAAAGTGAGCGTAAGTTGGACACACAAAATCCGCCACACAAAACCACACATCCGCACACGCAGTACTTTTTTATATCACCTCCGGACTGTATGCGTCCCGTCTCCTCATAATTATCCTTCATCTCGGCTCCGATAAGACTGTAAAACCATGTGTGTGTAACATGTGAACGCCGTGGACTAGCCTCCATGTGACCCGCTTTAATCGTTACCATCTGACAGAAAGAGAAAAGTGCGAGGAGACCAGACAGAGGCAGGGGAATAGAGGGACAGAGGAAGAGGGAGCGGATAAGTTGAGTGTTGTGGATATTACCAGGCTATGTCCAGGCCCAGATTATTTTTTAATCAAATCAGTTTGCGTGCTTGTAATTTATAAGCGCCTTGCATTAATCTTTTCTAGTTCTTGTGCCCTCTCCGATGACATATTAATTTTTCATAAGCGTAGGATTAGATGGGGGGCTGTGTATATGTTTTTCTAATATTGCACAGCATCTCTGCAACACTTAAATTAGTTTTTTTTTCCCCCAACACCCTTCTTTCATTTCTCCTTCTATTTTTTCCTAGTTTATTCTTTAATTGTTGTCCAATCTGTGACTCTTCCACCAACCTCTGAGTATAAAGAGCAGAAAGGGATTTGTTTGTAAGAATGTTGTTAGCAGGGAGGGGTAACTATCTGTACAAGGCAGCGTGCTGTATTTTTTGATTATTTTGGTGCGAGGAAGAGCTACACATAATGCCTCCGCTCAAGGCTGTGGTCGGGATAGCCCTGGCTTTGTTAGATTTGATTTACCCAAATAAGAATTCATATGGTCTTTTTATGTATGAGATGGAAATCCATGACTCCAGATGAATATTGCATGGAGCGGTCTTTTTTCTCTGTCATTGCATGGGGTTCTCTCTCTCATTCTTTCCTGCCTTTTTACTAATGTTTCTCCTCCCCCCAACGACGCACACGAACACGCACCTTCCCTAACTCCCAACCGCTATCTATCCTAACCACCAATCGCTCTGTCTCTCCGACCTCCTCCTGTTCCTCGCACGGCCGTACCTAGCTCTATAATGTGAAGCTCAATGAGGCAGAAGGAGAGCTGAGTGAGGCTGGGGCCTATTAGTTTAGCTAGTCATCTATCTTTCAGCTCTATCTCCCTGACAGGTCCGTCTGACAGACATGGCGGGGAACCACCATCCATGCATTTCCGTGCCGCATATTACTGCCATCGTCATTTAACACCACTGCACACATGCAAAACACTGTCCACTGCTCCATTCTGCAATAGAGCCAAAGCCTGAGTATGTGTGCATTTCAAAGTGTAGCCCGTCAGATGTCAGATCGTATAAAATGTAGAAATGGAGACTGGAGCTAGTTTGGTCTGATCGTGTATGGTCTACGGATGTCTTTTGATGCCTATGAAACGGTATCCTATTATAGTCATATGGAAATTGTAAAATATGTAACCAGTCTCCGTACTTCAAATGGCCCCATCGTTTTGTTGCTATTGCACTTCATACCATGTATAGTGATGCATGTAAAATGTATGCAAAAGTAGTTTATTTTATACGTACATGCACATACAGTGTTTGCTTGATGATAGAAGTAACTGTTCTCAGCATGCGGCCATTTTGTAAAGATAGTTTGTTTCCCATTTCTTTTTTTACACTGTGTTAAACATGTAAACTATTGGGTAAGGATCTCTTGGTCATCTGTCAGTAATGGGAAGAAAGTGGTGAAATTCCTGACTATGCACAAAGCCTGCCTGCTGCTGTGGTCAGGTTAATAACATAGAAAGACCCTTGTGTCTCCCACTTTTCTTTTTCCAGCTTAAAGTGGTGAGATTTAGCATCTCCTTCCCCAAATCTCCAGCTAACTTGAAGTGTGCAGCTCTGTGTGTCTGATAGTGAGTGAGTGTGTGTCCATATGGAGATCTCCAGGGAAGGGGATTACAGTGTGACCAAGTGAGCAGTATGTTTGCACACTTCGTCTCCAGCCCAGGATCCCGTTAACAAAGAGCCCCAGATAGAGTAGATAGTGAAGGAAGAGAAACACACAGGATGGGAGGGGCCAGGAAGGACTCTCGGAGCTTTTTCCTCTGCTTCATTTACATTGTCTTTTTTAATCCCATGTCACTTTAGATTAATTATAATCCATGTTACATTTTCCATGCAAATGTCCCTGATGTGGATTACTTCCAGATAGCTTTGTGCTGTGAGTGGATGTCACCAACATGGCTCTGGGGCCCATTTCTTATAAATAAGCAACTAAACAAAGGCCTCAGCATGGAAATGAGTACGTCAGGCTGCCCAAGGAAATTACACATCTCTACCTGCTTCAAATTAGCAAAGAAATTGCTCATTGTTTCTCCAGTCATAGGCTATTTATTAATTTTGTGTGCAAGTTTAAATTGTTAAGATGAGAGGAGAAACAAAAAATGAATCTCATGCAAGCCAAATCAGATGTTAAATATTCCATATTAGCTGCTTCATGTTTTGAATAAATTCCTCTTTTTTATTTGCATGCATTTGGAAAATTTTCCAATCTTGACATGAGGGCTCTACTTGTTCTGTGCCTCAACAAGACAAGATTAAAACTGATTAAAGTTATTAGCATATTTAATTACAACCCTGCAGCCATGCTTTTGTGTGTGCATGTTTCCTGACAGCTTGTTGAACATTTCAGATGATTTGTCAAATGTGACATGGCCTTGCTCATATTTATCTCTCATTAGAACGCACTCAGAACAGGCAGAATAAAGGAGGCTAGTCATTAAAAAACACAACTGAACGACAGCTGCTGTTTAGTAGCCACTTTCTCTCTCCCCTGCTCTCCTCTGCCTCGCTCGTCCTTCCCTGCGGCTGCATGTGTGCCGGCTGTGGGCTTCACTGGGAGTTTGGGGTCTACAGTATGTTGCCGTAATGTTATCAGGTGACCAGGGGTCGCCCTAATGCGTAACCTCCGAGCAGTAGGCCAGTAAATCATGGCGGCTGGCCCTCCCTGGTCTGTTTGGGCCGGCTCTGCCTGCTAGATTTACTGCTCTGTAACCTTAGCCAGTCTGCCAGGGCTCAGGACTGCTAAATTGAATACTAAATCCAAGCTGCCGCCACCCAGCCCGCTTCACCACGTCTCTTCCTCACATGCATTGTTTTAGAAATTACAAAGCAAACCATAAATAAAATATCATAGATTGTTTTGCTATTTGCTCCAGAGGATTCATTCTGATTTGAAGACTTTAATGATATTCTTGTTGTGATACAATCTCATCTCACAAATAGCATTCAAAGGGCACAGTACAAAAACGTTAGCAGCTACGCTTGTCCATGTTTTTAGAAACAATTTGGGACAGCAATATCCTAAGGTGTTTTCAGCCTGTGCTCTCCTGTCTTTCTCATCTGATTGCCCTTTCTGCCTTTCACTGCATGCCCTCCATCGCACCGAACTCCTCTCCATTTAAGCGTGCACTTGCGAGTATGTAAGGCTGTGTATACTGCGCTCCCTAAACGCCATTGACAGTCGCAAATAAAGATGGGTGGTGAGTGCGCCTCTCGCTCCCCACGCAATGCAAAAGAGGTTGAGTGTCATAAATCACTTTTTGATTTATCTAATCAAGTAGGGTCCTGCTGCATGCAGACATTTGTCATTGGCGGAAGGGGGTGCGGGTGTCAGGTTTATGCTGGCCCTTCGCTTCACTGGGCTGCAGCTGGTGGAGCCTACACGCGGAGGAAGGGATGGAGAGAAGGTTGTAGGAAAGGACAACATCATTAAGTGTGCGTGCAAACTTGGAGACAAAGGAAAAATCTTTTGTCATGTGTCCCCTTCCATTCCTCTAATTATTTTAGCTCTGCACTTGGTATTGAGGGCAACTCTCTGAGGGCTGATGATGCATTTTCAACCTTTGTGTTTGCACTGCTGAGGGCACTTCACAATTTGAGAAGTTCCTCTAAAAACGTACAATACGCTTGAGGTGTCATTCACACAAGTACAGAGCAGCTCTTGTAGCGTTTAAGCAAAATGGTTTTCCTAAATATTATAGTCTGTTGATGAAAATTGAAGATATCTCCTCTGCACAAGGAAAACTATGTCAACCGTGCACGAGCTCACATGCACTGAACAAACATATATTTACATTCAATATGACAGTAATCAATGTTGATGTGTGGGCTCTCTCCGCCGCCGCATTGTAAATGTGTTTGCAGCCTCTTGTCCGACAATCGCCTCATCTCCTTTTGCAGGGATGTAATTTAGTTGCAAATTGACTGGAAGACGGGGGGAAAAATTGAAAGTTGAAATTAGAAATGGTCATAATAAATACGGGAGGCGTGGTGATGCCTTTGAAAAGGTCAGGTGATATGACGGGTGCTTCCAGGCTGCAGCGGTCGGACCAATGCAGTGTCAGAGGCCTGTCGAGAAGCACATATTAAAGACACGCGCACACACATACAAGCCTGCAGGGGCCATCACACGCACACGGAGACCAGATTACCTCGCTATTCTGAGCTGCACAGCAATTCTCGGATGTTCTTGGAAATTCACATTGTGCCCTTGTGTTTTTCCCTCCTCTCTCCCTCTCTTTCTCCTTTTCTTTGCTCCCTCCGTCTCTCTTGTCACTTTCCTTGACAGGCCAATATTTCAGGCTCCAGATATAGGGGATTACAAATAAAATAAGTGGAACGCCTACTTAATGCAACAGAATTAAAATGCATGAACGGGCCGGAGCAATTGATATGCGCCCAATACAAACACGACCCACAGAATAATATGAAATACAAAATGTTTTTTTTCAACCCCCTCTCTATGTATCAGTGCTTTGATTTCCCTTTTTTTTCCATTTGTGCATCTAGCGTGAAGCGTTGATTCGCAAGAGTGAGGCTCCCATATTGCCTTGAGTGACCAGACGAGGGAGGGAGGGCTGGTGGGCGAGGGGTAGATGGCTTAGGGAGAGGTAGGGTAGGAGGGAGGATAGTTGTTGTGTCTTTGTGCTGTGTTGAGTGGGTAAATTGCAGTGGCAGAGTATAGTGGGGTCTGCATGGCCGGTATCGTAGGATGAGCCTAATGAAAGATTTATCAGCAGCAGCAGCATTTACTAAATACAACCAGGGGCTGAACACTGCACTGTTAATGTCATGCGCGCTTACACGCATACACACAAATGCACGCTTACACGCACACACACAAGTGTAGCACACGAAGCCAGCCGCTCCAGCCGTGACTGAGCCCAGAAAATTTTGCATCTTGTAGCGAGCGAGAAGTTGTGGCAGTAGCTAGGGAAATGTATATGAACTAATGAAGTGTATCATATTACCATAACATTTAATGTATGTCGTGCTGTGATAATGAGCCTGCCTGAGTTTTCTCCATTTCACATGTCCTCAGGCACAAATACATCATTGTATATGAGAATAAATAATGCAGACCACGTCCCATGTATCCAAACACAGATTGTCAGGGTGTCAAATCAGTTTAAAGGCATCATATCATACATACTATTAGCTGCAACTATTGATTATTTTACTAATCTATTGATTATTACTTTTCATTAAACGAGTAATCTTTTAACCTCATCACTTCCCACAAAGCATTGTTTTGTGCATAATAAATAACATGAGTCACAGTTAAAACAGATAAGGTGTTTGTTGTTTACAGAGAAACAGCTCTGTGTTAAAACATCATGTTAGTAAGTCATCTTTGAGAATATTGTAGTTCTGTGTACTTTGTCTCAACACTTTCTCACAACGCTGTTTTACCATGAACTTGATTATTCATCTCATCCCTACATAGACATTGTGTTTTTTGTGTACAAAATTATAATGTTCATTATTTTTTTACAGGAAACAATGCCATATCCAAAGAGAGTTCAGGACCTAACAGCATGGGTAAACATTCCCTTTCGCAAGATCGACAAAATGAGACACCACCAAAAAGGCCCAAGTCTGCTGAAGGGAAGACTTCTGCCAATGAACAGGTAAAGACATTAAGAAACAAATGAAAGACGTTGATGAAAGTGTTTAAAAAGACGTCATTTATCATGAAAATTAATGAGGAAAAGTATCTAAGATGCTAAAATGCTTACATATGCAGTTAGTGATATGTAAGCAGTGCTGATAGCATGCAGCTTTCTTTCAAAGGGTTAATCGTAACTCCCTCTTCCCTCTCTGACAGAGCTTTTTAGCATCAAACCCACCAGGGCCGTCTTTGTGCTTTAAGTGGATACCTGTGCTAGCCGTAGGCCTTCCGCTCTGCTTTGTCCCCTTTTTGCATCTCTTTAAATTATATGTGTTTTTAAATTAGATTATGAAGTATTAGCTCGTCTGGTGCAGGGCTCTGCAAAGAGGGTGGACTTAGTCATTTCAGAAATGGATTCTATTAAGACAGGTGGTGGGGAGGCAGCTATGTTCTGAGTACTCCCTGTAATGAGGGCAAGGCGTAGCGTGAGTGGGTACACACCTTTGTCATCTGTAATATCCTGATTAGAAATTCTGCCCAATCGTGTTTTCTGTTAATAAAATTGCATGAGATCAGAGACTTAAATGAATTATAGGAAACATGGTTTCTGTGTAAAGGTGGACATGGGGTTAGTGGAAAATGTGATGAAGGTAGAATTAAATATTTCTGTCGGTGTTGTTTTCTAGATCCAGCAGTGCCCTTATTGCAACTACAGCAGCAAAGACGCCAACCTAATGCAGCTCCATGTGATGTCCCAGCATTCCATGCAGCCTGTGATCCGATGTCCACTGTGCCAGGACGTCCTGAGCAACAAGATCCATCTACAGCTACATCTGACCCATCTCCACAGTGTGGCACCAGACTGTGTGGAGAAACTTATAATGACGGTGTGTTATTCTTGAAATATGTTGTGAATATGAACTAGATACAAAAAACAACTCTAAAGTCAATAATTATGTTTTTTTTTAGGTTCTTGGACCTGAAACAGCAACACCAAATAATGTAATGCATCACCAAACGGGACAAGACAAAATGGAGACTTCAGGCTCTGTTTCTGAAGGAACCGGAAAGGCTCAAGGTACAGAACACCTCTGCTTTTTTGTAGTCCTATTCTTAAATGTGTATTATGAAGTACTAAATGTGTCTTTGTCTTTGTTGTTTGTTCATTTTTAGGAAACAACTTAAAAGAGGAACCTGGTACACAGGACAAGAATGAAATGGAAGTGCAATGTGAAGAACTTAAGCCTCCCAAAGAAGCCTCCGAGGCACCGGACTGGAACAAAGGCACTAATGTGGGACAGGAGAAATCTTCTGATGCCTTACAGGACCATATAACCGAGCTCCAGAGGCTCCAGCAGCAGCAACAACAGCTGTCAGTGTCTGACCGTCATGTCTACAAGTACCGCTGCAACCACTGCAGTCTGGCCTTCAAGACCATGCAGAAGCTTCAGATACATTCCCAATATCACGCCATCCGAGCAGCCACTATGTGCAGCCTGTGCCAGCGTAGCTTTAGGACATTCCTGGCCCTCAGGAAGCATTTGGAAAACGGCCATCCTGAACTAAGTGAAGCTGAGGTGCAGCAGCTAGTTGGAAATTTACCAATAAACGGAGACATCACTGAGAGTGAAGTCAGAGCTTTAGAAGAGGCCCAAGCCTTTGAACACGACTTAGACAAAGATGATGAACTAGACCAAGAAGACAAACCCAGTCCCACTGGCAGTGACAGCGGCTCACTTCCAGACGACATGGGAGCAGAACCAAAACGGACCTTGCCATTCAGAAAAGGGCCCAACTTTACTATGGAGAAGTTCTTAGACCCGTCACGGCCTTACAAATGCACTGTATGCAAAGAGTCCTTTACCCAAAAGAACATCCTGCTGGTTCACTATAATTCTGTTTCTCATTTGCATAAACTAAAGAAAGTACTCCAAGAAGCTTCAAGCCCAGTCCCCCAAGAGACCAGCAGCAGCATTGACAACAAACCATACAAATGCAATATCTGCAATGTTGCTTATAGCCAAAGTTCAACGCTTGAAATCCATATGAGGTCAGTTCTTCACCAGACCAAAGCCAGAACAGCCAAAAGTGAAGCAAGCAGCAACAACAATGGCTCTAGTGGTTCCGTGCCAGCAAAGAGTCCAGTGCCCAGCTCACAGGGGAACCATAACAGTTCTGAGATGACAAGGAGTGGCACACCTTCAGCTAACAAAGAAAATTCTGTGGAATCCAAAGATGCGAACAACACCAACGCTAAAATGGCCACAACCTCTGAGCATGTGTCCTCCCAAAGCAGCAGCCACCAGTCAGCCCAGGCCTCCACTCAACTACAGCTCCAACTTCAGCATGAGCTCCAACAGCAGGCCGCTTTCTTTCAGCCGCAGTTTCTCAACCCGGCATTCTTCCCCCATTTCCCCATGACCCCAGAGGCGCTACTGCAATTCCAACAGCCCCAGTTTCTGTTCCCCTTCTACATCCCTGGGGCAGAGTTTAACCTCAGTCCGGAGCTAGCCCTACACTCTGCAGCTGCTTTTGGGATGCCGGGTCTCGCTGGCTCATTTCTGGAGGATCTTAAACAGCAAATGCAGCAGCAGCACCAGCTTCAGCAAGCCCAAGCTCAGCAACAAGCTCAACAGCAGCAACAGGCCTCTCAGTCTCAGAAAAGCCAGCAGAGCCTTAAACTTAAGTCTGAGTCCAACGCCATTTCTGTTTCGGATGTCCAGATGTCACGAGAGGCCGAAGAGCAGCTTGAGAAGCAGGAGAATAAAGCAAAATTAGAAAATGGAGATGACAATAAAGAAAATAAAGACATTAAAAAGTCCAAGTTTTCAGAGCCACTCATCCCTCCTCCACGTATTGTGTCAGGAGCAAGAGGAAATGCGGCCAAGGCACTGCTGGAGAACTTTGGATTTGAACTGGTGATCCAATACAATGAGAACAGACAGAAGAGTCACAGGAAAAACAAAGAAGGGACAGATCAAGTGGAAGTAAACACAAGACAAGACAAGCTGGAGTGTGGCATGTGTGGGAAGCTTTTCTCCAATATGCTCATTCTGAAGAGCCACCAAGAGCATGTCCACAGCCAATTCTTCCCCTACGGTGAGCTTGAGAAGTTTGCTCAGCAGTACAGGGAGGCCTATGACAAACTATACCCCATTAACCCTGCTTCTCCCGAGACTCCCCCACCACCTCCACCTCCCCCTGCGCCACAACAGGCCCCTGCCCCTGTGACAACTCCACAGCCAGCCTCCACGGCCATGCCCAAGTCCCAAACCCCAGCACCTCCACCCGCTGCGGCCCCACACCAGAGCACACATCAGTCAGCTCACCAGAATGCTCCAGCCCAGCCACCTCCACCCCCTCCTCAACAAGCCGCCCCTCCTGCACCACCACAAGTGCAGATGCCTGTCTCCCTAGACCTGCCTCTCTTCTCCCCTCTCATGATGCAGTCAGTGCAGCACCCAGGCCTGCCCCCACAACTGGCTCTTCAACTGCCTGGCATGGACTCTCTATCCTCCGACCTGAGTCAGCTCTGTCAGCAGCAATTGGCGCTCGATCCAAATTTCCTGCGCCAGTCCCAGTTCAAGAGACCACGCACACGTATTACCGATGACCAGCTGAAAATTCTTAGAGCCAACTTTGATATAAACAATTCTCCAAATGAAGAGCAAATCCAAGAGATGTCTGAAAAGTCTGGCCTGCCACAAAAAGTTATAAAACACTGGTTCCGCAACACCTTATTCAAAGAAAGGCAGCGTAGCAAAGACTCTCCGTATAATTTCAACATTCCTCCTATCACCACACTGGAAGACATCAGATTGGAGCCACAAGTTAGTGCTCTCGATTACAGAACTGATCCAACAATTAACAAGAGATCCTCCAGAACTAGATTCACCGATTACCAACTAAGAGTGCTTCAAGATTTCTTTGACACAAATGCCTATCCAAAAGATGATGAGATAGAGCAGCTGTCTACTGTCCTGAACCTACCAAGCAGAGTCATTGTGGTTTGGTTCCAGAATGCCCGTCAAAAAGCCCGCAAGAGCTACGAAAACCAGGCTGACGCAAAAGACAGTGAGAAGAAGGAGCTAACAAATGAACGCTACATCCGAACTAGCAACATGCAGTACCAATGTAAAAAATGTAACATTGTGTTCCCAAGAATATTTGATCTCATCACTCACCAGAAAAAGCTGTGCTACAAAGATGAGGATGAAGATACAAATGAAGAATGCCACGGTGACGATTATAATGACTCTTACGACCTGAGTCTGCCCAGCAAAATATATTCAGAGTCATCCAGGCATCACCACGGGACGGCCACCAGCTCTGGTTCCAGTTCTCCAACACTGGCCTCTCCTCATACAAGTATGGGCAAAATTTCACCGAAGCCTGAGCCACTTTCCCTCGAAAACGAACCAAAACAAACTGAGAATGCCCCTTCACCTGTGATAAAATCCCTTCCAGAACCAAGACCGTCAAAGGCCTGCACTCCCCAACCTCCCCCACAAAAAGCCACCCAACCCCCCATGTCAAGACCCCACTCCCAGCCCCAAGCAGCCTCTGTGGCCTCCAGTCCTCTTTCCATTGCTCTCTCCACACTGACTAACAGCTTGCCCCACCAAATGCTGCAGTACCAGTGTGAGCAGTGTAAAATTGCTTTCCCAACAATGGAGTTATGGCAAGAGCACCAGCACATGCATTTCCTGGCTGCCCAAAACCAGTTCCTCCACTCTCAGTTTATTGAAAGACCAATGGATATGCCCTATATGATATTTGACCCAAACAACCCACTTATGGCCAGTCATCTGCTCTCTGGAGGTCTAACCCAAATCCCCTCACAGAGTAGTGCTAGTCTAGCATCTGCTGGGGGCATGAAGAGAAAAATGGATGACAAGGACGAGTCTACAAATGATAAAGATGGTGGAAACAGTAGTGAAGAACAACACAGAGATAAGAGACTGCGAACCACTATAACGCCAGAACAACTGGAGGTACTTTATGACAAATACCTGCTTGACTCAAACCCAACACGTAAAATGCTGGACCACATTGCACGAGAGGTTGGGCTGAAGAAGAGGGTGGTGCAGGTATGGTTCCAAAATACTCGTGCCAGAGAAAGAAAGGGGCAGTTCAGAGCCATTGGTCCCTCCCAGTCGCATAAGAAATGTCCCTTTTGTCGAGCCCTCTTCAAAGCTAAATCTGCTTTAGACAGCCACATAAGGTCCAGACATTGGCATGAAGCGAAACAAGCAGGCTTTAGTTTGCCCCCAAGTCCAATGATGAATCAAGACCATGACAGAGGGGAAAGTCCAAATAAGTATTCCTTTTTTGACTGTCCGCCCCTGCCGACAAAGAGTGAGCAGAATGACTACGATCTGCCAGCTGCATCCTCTACTCCAATGAAACCAACTGAAGCTCAGTTAAAAAACTTCTTAAGCCCTTCATCCTTAAAAGCTGAAAACTGTGATGAAACTGACGGGCCCAATATGAATTCAGCAGAAACTTCATCCTATGACCTGAAGATGGACTTTGATGAGACTTCATCAATTAATACAGCCATTAGTGATGCTACCACAGGTGATGAAGCCAACAACTATGAGATCGAGAGCTTCACTGCAAATGGTGGTGATAAGCTCAATGACAACAAAAACAATCCCCTCGCAAACTCGGATTGTTTAAACGACAGGTTCCAGTTCAGTATGGTCAGCCCTTCGCTGAGCTTCTCTGGAAAAGACTGTGACTCTTATTTCAGCTCTCGAGATGACGACATGGAGGATATGAACGATCAAAGTGAGTCATCTAGCCTCGCTGATCCAAGTTCACCAAGTCCATTTGGTTCGACTAACCCTTTTAAGTCTGGCAAATCGAACAATGGCGACAGACCTGGACATAAACGCTTCAGGACACAAATGAGCAATCTGCAGCTCAAAGTCCTCAAAGCATGTTTCAGTGACTACCGAACCCCCACGATGCAGGAGTGTGAGATGCTGGGCAACGAGATTGGACTCCCCAAACGTGTCGTTCAGGTGTGGTTCCAAAACGCCCGTGCTAAAGAAAAGAAGTTCAAGATAAATATTGGAAAGCCTTTTATGATAAGTCAAGGCTCTCCAGAAGGTCCCCGACCAGAGTGTACCCTGTGTGGTGTGAAGTACACCGCTCGCATGTCTGTGCGAGACCACATCTTCTCAAGACAGCACATTGCCAAAGTGCAGGAAACCCTGGGCAACCAGGTGGATAGAGAAAAGGACTACCTAGCACCAACCACTGTCCGTCAACTTATGGCCCAGCAAGAACTGGACCGCCTAAAGAAAGTTGGAGAGGTCCTGATGCCCGGGCAGCAGACTCAACTGGACAACAACAATGCACTTCATAGCCTCAGCCTGCCCTCGGGATATCCCGGGATGTCAGGGCTCCCCCCAGTGCTGCTCCCAGGGGTCAACGGGCCATCCTCACTCCCTGTGTTCCCTCCAAACACACCTGGTGAGTTAGTATGACAAAACGTCCAAGTACTTTAATAGATGCTTTATGAACTGAGCTTTACCATGCACTATTTATTTTGTTTTACTACTGTTAACTCTAAATCACAAAGATTTTTTAAAGTCTTATATTAAAACACTTTTAAAATTAAGTGCATGCTTTCATCCTCAGAGTTGTATAGTCAGCTGGTTCAGAGATTTTTTACACACAGATGTATTTGTTGGATTTCATTTGCTTGTTATTGTCCCTTTATTGTAGGTTTGGTATATTTAAATGCTAATATATTGAAAGATAAAATTGTAAAGCGCATGTAACAGTTTGATCCATAACAAAATCTAAATCAGACATATACCAATATTCAGCCAGTAACTAATTATTTATCAATAATACTTCTGTCCTTAGTGATTTGGAATTGAATATCTAAATATTGAATATCTCCATATCTATGCCACTGTATTCCAGCTTTAGCGTCTCCCGGTGCTGGCATGCTTGGGTTCCCTACACCAGCCACCCCCTCTCCTGCCATGTCTCTGAGCACTACCCCAACCAAGACTCTGCTGCAGACTCCTCCACCTCCTCCTCCTCCTCCTCCTGTTCCCTCCACACCTTTGACAGTCAATCACACAGAGCAGCAAAGCAAGGACGCAGAGAGAGACCGCAGCAAGAAGCCAGGAGACAAGCCTGTGCAGACCAAGAAGGACAGAGAGAACGCCAGCAGCCCCCGCCCCAACACTCCCAGCACAAACAAGAAGAGGGAGAAGGCTGCTCACCTTGCCGGGAAATCAGCAAGTGAGGTGGACGCCGCGCAGCTGCAGGCCCTTCAGAACGCCATGGCTGCAGGTGACCCCAGCGCCTTCCTCGGAGGGCAGTTCCTGCCATATTTTCTCGCTGGATTTCCCAACTGCTTCACTCCTCAGCTGCCCAGAGGAGTCCAGGCTGGGGGCTACTTCCCTCCTCTCTGTGGAATGGAGAGCCTATTCCCCTACGGCCCTGCATCTGTCCCGCAGGCGGCCATGTCTGCAGGCCTCTCCCAGACTGCTCTACTGCAACAGTATCAGCAGTACCAGCAGTCTCTCCAGGACTCACTGCAGAAGCAGCAAAAGCAGCAGGAGCAGAAAAACCAGAAACAACAGAGCACTACCAACTCTTTCAAACCAAAAGAAGTGTCAGAGGTGAAAGACGAACCCAACAAAGGCTCTTCGACAGAAAGCACAAAAGAAGAACCGAAAACTGAAACCAAAAGTTCCTTTGATTTAGCAGATACGTTTATCGTCCCGTCCGTCAAGCATGAGTTTATATGCAGAAAGTGCCAGATGATTTTTGCTGACGAAGATTCTGTGGTGCGTCATCAAAAGTCCTTCTGTTACTTCGGACATCCTTTTACTGACCCGCAAGAGACAGTGCTTCGGAAAGCAGTAAGCAACTACACGTGTACTGCCTGCAACGTGGTTCTTAATGGGAAAGAAGCACTTGGCCAACATCTTCAGTCGAGCTTGCACAAAGAGAAAACAATCAAACAAGCAATGAGAAATGCCAAAGAGCATACTAGATTATTACCTCACACTGTCTGCTCCCCTACTCCTAACACCACATCTACCTCGCAGTCTGCAGCTTCTTCTAATAACACCTTTCCTCATCTCTCTCGCTTGTCCATGAAGTCCTGGCCAAATGTCCTGTTCCAGGCCACCACAGCCCGGAAAGCTGCTTCCTCCTCCCCGTCTGCCTCTCCTCCCCCTCCCCTGTCCTCACCTTCAACGGTTACCTCAACTTCCTGCAGCACCTCAGGGGTTCCAACCTCACTACCCACCGAGAGTTGTTCAGATGAGTCTGACAATGAGCTAAGCCAGAAGCTGGAAGACTTAGATAACGCGTTGGAAGTCAAGACTAAGCAGGCCCCTGGCCTAGACGCGAGCTTCAGTAGTATAAGAATGGATATGTTCAGTGTGTAGGAGTGACAAAAGGATCCCTTGCTTAAAGAAAAAATAAGACTTTTTAAACTGCAGTTCCAAAGTTTCTCTTAACCCAAAAAATTACAGTACCAAATGATTGACTCAGGATTGTTTTTCCCATATTGATATGCTGGCAAGATATTGATTGATTTTTGTTATGGACAGAACTGTTGCAGATGCTTGACTGAGCTTATATTGTATACAAAACATGGAGTAGGAAAAAAAATCCCACAAGTCCCTCGAGGGCTTGTTTCAAGCCAAAAACTCTCACGATAGCAAATTGCACCTCAGCTGGATTGTTTTCCAAATGCTAGCATGTACTGTATGGGATGACGATCCAGAACCCTCAAAGAGAATCTCTCTTAGTTTAGATAGGTGTAATTCAGTAGCTTTAAATTCTCAGGTCAGAACATAACATTTCTCATTTGTTAAAGCAGCAAAAGCCTGGGTACACTTGGCTTATAACCAAAACATGTCAAGCTTTATCGGACGCATTTCCTTGATGTGTATAGAGTACCAAGAGACAATATTACTGTTACAATGGACAATGTGCATATCCTTTTAGTTTTGCCCTACAAGGACAGTATGGTTTTGCCACTGAGGGAATTTGAATGGTGAAGTTTATGTGTATGATGCCCCTGTGTTTGCCAGTTTGTATTCCAACAAGCTGAATCCTTTATTTCTTGTAGTATAAACTAATCTGTGCCAACTCTTCCCTTCTCACCGTACCTCTGCTCACACCCTTTTCTCAAGAGGTAATAACTCTAGTTTTGATAGACTCTTGAATTATGTGAATATAACATTTTTCATTTGTGAATTGCTGTACTGTTACGGTACCTGCTCGTGTCTGGACTATAGTGCACTTATTTTGTTTTGTCTTTTTATTATTGAGTAGGCCATTTGTTAATTTAATAGATTTTTGTTTATATGTCTGTATGTACGTTTGTTTAATTATTATTTGTGTCTATTGCAGCAGCATATTGGTCCACATTTGTTACAAGATTGATGCCTAACAATCTAGAAACATATTTAATAATTGGTGCATTCAAGAAAGTAGTACTGTATACTTGAAACTGTTAAGGTACAAGTTGGTCACAATGTTAAAATATGATCATGCTTTACATTTACAAATATGCTGCTTCAAAAGGGGGACAACAGCATTAGTGTTGTGTATTCAGACATGTCCAAACAGTGTTACATCCACACGCTGCCATTAGATTGACGTCCTCCCACCAATTCTCTGGGCACTTGATCTTCACTTTTCAGTTTTCCACATTTAGTGATTTCAACATTGCTAAGTATTACCTTACCAAGGTTTGCTGCTACTGTCTAATGTTCTTTTTTTTTTTTTGCTTGCCATAAATTCTCTCAACTTTATGTCACACAAGATACTGATCCATTCATTGCTTTGCTTTGCTCTTTTTGTTTCTTTTCCTCTCTTTTATTTTACTGTGGAACTAAGAATGTGAAAGCTGTCAAAGGGTGTTCTGTTTTTACGAATCACTTTCTAGTTTAGTAATTGAAACCAATGTGATTCATTCCAAAGTAACAGAAGGCTATTTGTATGAAAGAAAAGGCTTGTGAACAAAGAAAGCTAAGCTGTTGTACATATTTGTAGTTGGCTGTGCATGGTACAAATTTATTAATATGAAGAAATGCAAAAATGTATTGCTTTTGGTATTTCCTATTCTGAGATGAGCAAGTAGCATGTAATGCAACTGTTTGACAGGTTAAATCAAATCATGCTTAGTTATTGTTTCAAACAATGACATCAAATATCATTTCCATATGTTTTATAAATGTATTTTTATTTTGACGCAAAATGCCAGTTTTATTTTTCTGTGTGAGCTTTCTAAATGTCATTATTTGGATTTTGAGTATTTTAACACTTTCTTTAATCCTGAAGACACTTTTTGATTGTGTTTCATAAGAGACATCCTGGCCTCCCAAGGTGCAATTCTGCCATTGTACAAACATGACTGTCCTGAACCCAAAGGCTTTCTCTACTCTGGCGTTTTGCCTTTCCCACTCTGTGGCTCAGCATTCAAAGACTGAACTGTCAGCTAGCATTGTGTGCTAAGATGCTAGTGTCCGACAGTACGCGTTCCACACCAAGGACTGGTAAAAGCTAACAAACCAACAAAGAGGATGGTCCAACAATATACTGTACATAGATATTGCAACTGCACAGCAGCCAAAAAGAAAAAAAACTTTTTGAAAAAAAAAAAAAAAAAATGGATGGATTGTGTCATGTCTTATGGGGACAGCCTTCAAAAGGTTGAAAGTGGAATTGTTCTTCTGGATGTCAAAGGGATTTTCATGGCGCAATCATATCCTCCACAATATGTACTCTTCAACATCTGGGTTACATCGGAAATGCACCCTGAGGTTTTAATAAGAAGAAGCCCCTATGGCTAAAACTTTAAATAAACTAAACCAAAAATGTTATTGATGTTTTATATATAGAGAGTAGTTGCATTAGTTTTTGTTACTGTACTGTTTGAGGTCTCAACTGTACCGTACCACGGTAATAACATGGTTTTGAAACCTTTTTTATTTTGTCACAGACCTGTTGTCATAGTTGAAATGACGTTTATTGTAGATGGTATTTGAACAACTTCTGGAAATAGTTCATCAAGTATGTTTGTTGCTCATTGTTGTGATACATTAAAAACTGTATCTGCAAACCAGCTCGCTCTCATCCATCTTTATTTGTGTCCTCAATTATTCACGGATGACATGAAATAACACTTCAAATCAACCACATTTTGTAATTGGAGAAAGATTTATATTTGCCCCCACTTTCACATGTATGAAACTCAGATTTACTTTTCAGGCATTGTCAGAAATATAATTATACACCAAATTACACCCAGAAAGAAAAACAATTTGGTTTTCAAAGAGTTACACATTTGAATGACACCTGTAATGATGATTATTCATTATTATTGGAAAAAACATTTTATATGATCTGTTTTTCCAATACTGAGATTCGGAGTTCATTAGGTTTAGCCCTAAAGCTATTTACCATAATCTGACTCTAAGCAGATGTATGGGATTATATATGATGTTTATCTGATCAGGTGTGCCCTTGTTTTTCACTATTCTATCTGCAAACACATCACACAAACACAGGCACCACCGCACAAGGATTCGGACAATATATGACTATTGAATTAAAAAAGGGCAAAGGAATAGCAGACCTTTCAGAGCCAAGGTCAACATATGCTGTCACATTAAAATGGCAGCTTCAGATCGGCACTCGGCCACAATAGATCACAGAGTGTCAGGGTCAGAGAGCCGGGGCGCGTTCACAAGTCATTACACCTCCTAATGCTGTCTCACAAGGGCAGCGCAAACCAAGGAGACGTGCTTTTCACTCAAATCTGCTCTGGACAATATATGGCTACTGTCATGTCCAAGTCTGATGCCGTGGACTTCGCATTCCTTTGAGTCTGTGTGTGTTTTATCTGAATGAACCAGGAGCTATAAATGGGGCTAATGTATATACTGCAATTATGCGTTTTTTTCTAAATAAGCAAAATGTATCCTGATTTGAAACATTATTTGTCAATGGAACAAGTGGTTTTACTCATAGTTTATACTCCAATCAAATAAAATAAAAATGTATTTTCAAGATAAAACAAGACATTGTATACTTTAAATGACAAAAACATGTAACTTTAACAAAACATAATTTTATCTTCAGATATAGAATGATCAACATATCTAAAAAAAAAAATCACAGTCATGGTATATGGGTGATAAATACAGTGTGAACTTTTGTGGTGGACATATTACTTTTATTATGTCTTGATTTATTTAGAATTAACAAAGCGAGATGAAGTGTAATATGTGTGCATATAGTTGAGGAATTAATATAAATCGAAATGGAGTGGGAAGAGGTCAAACTTAAGAAAAGTAAAGAAAGCTGCTTCCTGGTCTTCAATACATCATGATTATGATTAAAAAATAACTCAATGAATAACGCATAGGCTTCTCAAGCAGTATATCAATGCAAGTATAGAATCACAAGCAACTGTTCAAATGATATTTTAAGTTAAAGGTATTTATAGACACACACAAAGGTCCATATAACACAACAACAAAAACAAATGGATATAATGACAGAGATATTTACAAATGTCTATAAAGCCAGTTTCTCCAATGTCTCCAGAGTTTGGAAGTGTGCCCAACACTGCTCCGTACATGAGAAGTAAAAACATTCATAATCACATTTCCTCAGTCCGTTTCATGAACTTATAGATAGCATTTCTGATCACACCTCTCAGAGTGTACATGTTATTGCCCCTGTGGGTAATTTCCTCCTTTGCATTTGACCCAATCCTCAACACCATATCACAGCGCCCGAGTACCTGTCTCCAGATGTTGATACTTATCTTGGTCCGGACTACCACAGCTGGTGGATTATACCTGTGGTGCGTGTGCGTGTGTGTGCGTGTGTGTGCGTGTGTGTGGGAACCAGAGCGACCGGGGAGAAACATGCAAACTCCACGCAGAGAGGGCCAATGCAGGATCAAACCCACAACCTTTTATAGGTTAGGGTTAGGCTCACATCACAGCATCTGTTATGGCCATGATGCATAAGACACACTTGTTAAAAGATGAGAAACAGGTTCTTTTGAGCGAGGTGTGGATACTGTCTACAAGTAGCCACAAATAAGCTCAACACTGCACTGCAAACAAAAGTGGTTAGTGTGGACAGTTTAAAGCCAATACCTCGCCATTTGACACACTTGCCTGACCAGACAGGTTCTTCTACATTCTTTTATAAATCTGGTTAAAACTCTCATGTTTTCGGAAATTATTTATGTGAAATCATGAGGTTCTGGTTGGACTGGTTTTGAACACACACAGGACAGTTACGGCTCGCTCTCATCATATCGTGAGCGGACTGATAGAGAGACTTGAAACGGTAAACGCTTTGACATCGCTTTGAGTTCCAGCTCCGGACAACTTGACCCACACACAGACAGAGA